GTTGGCACTTCTGGGTTTGTCTACAGGGGAAAGCTGCACTGAGGTAAATTTAATTAGCTTTGAAGCCAGTATAGTTACATGCCTGTCGATGTTATGTATCTTCTTGGTATAGGAGGATGTTTTTCATTTTCAGCCTGTCAGTAATATATTCAAGATAGATGGGAAAAATCATTCTTACTCTGTCACAGAAGTGTACACATGAAAGTTTGCTCTGGTACAAAGTTAGGGCCAAATCCACGCCAGGAAAAATTTGTCAGAATAGCCTTCCCAGAAAGTCCTCTTAAGACAGGGAGAGCCTGGATGAGCATGAAAAGTGGTTTACGTATGTAGCATACACCAGTGCAAAAGCGCGAAATAAGCTGTACTACTTATGTGCCACAATAAGGGGGTTTCGCCTCAGGTTTTTACCAGTATAAAAAGGATGCAAGACAAAGCACCTCACAGTCCATTTGTACAGCTTCCAAGGGTACTTGTTACATCAACCATTATGTCTGTTTAAATTCACATTGACCTTATCTTATACTATGCCATTCTCAAGACTAGTCTTGCATAAAGCCACCACCAGCCACACCAATGCAATGCTGTGTCTATACCATGATTACTAATCATGTTCTAATGCAATAGTGAACACACAGAAGAACATAGGTAACACATGATTTTGCAGAGATACCCTAATGGAGATGACTCTTTTGATTTGGACTTTTCTTTACAGCTAAAAAGATTATTTTTTTTTTAACCTCAGAGAAACCAACATGCGTCAGCTCTCCTGTGCTGAAAACATAGTCAAGATAAGGTGCTTTAATTTTATACCGAGGTGAATTTTCCAAGGTCAATACCAGGCAAGAGGACAGGGCTGACTTTGCTGAACTAACCTTGTGGTAAAATTAAAGTATCCAACACTTGGCTGTGTTTCCAGTTTGGCATATCGGACATATATTAGTGACTTTTATGCATTTTTTTTTTTTTTTTGGCAGAAAAGACCTAGTCTTTATAATCTGCTTTTGTGTTACCTCAGAAGCAGTTGTGTAGTCCACATTCTACACAGCACAAATCTTATCAGAGACCTAAATTCTGCATACAACTGAAGTTCTATGTGGACATCTGTATCTACAAGTGCTCTGAAACAGGGAGCAGTATGTCCAGAGTGTTTCATTATTCTCGGTGATGCAATCTGCATTTGGAATAATCATGTCTACACAGTGCTCTGGAATCGCTATGTCTACACAGCTGTTACAACACTGCTGCTTTGCATTCTTGGAAGATTCCACAGTTTATTGCTTTGTCCCTCTGGTTTTTTCCATGCTACTCATTGTGAAAGATCCCACCAGAAGGTACTGGAGTATTTACCACGATTTCTCTCATTTCATCACAACGTTCAAAATGGGACCTTCATTTTCAAAGGACTGTTGGGCATCGGGCAAGAAGCACTGAAGACCATTGGGAGGTTCCTGGTGCTCTTTGTCTGTCTTTCGGGACAGGGACAGCTGAAGCTGAGCAGAGTCAACTGATTAAACTAATGCATGAAACGGTGAGGCTCAGTAGTGATGCAGAACAGAGACAGACATCAATTTCAACAGGGTTTGGGAATACGAAATTTCAAGAACCTTAAATGAAGAAATTGCCCTGCAACTGTAAGAATGGAACATGTCATAAGAATTTCTCTTGACACAGTGAAATATACTCATCCATTTTCATCTGAAGGCTTGGCACTCTCATTTGGTAACTACTTCTGTGGAGAAAAATCCACAGGAAAATTGGTCAGGATTATTGTGAAGGAGTTATGTGCGACAACTAAGAAACTGTCTGGCTTACAAGAGTGGGCAACAAACAGGCATTGATGACTTTAAATATTTGAAGGTAGCTAATTGTGTTTAGGTCATCGATGTGACCAACAAGGCTGTTGTCACTTCAGATCATACCTAGCAGAAGGCAACATTTTTCTGTGTTGTAACAAAGACAGATGATGACCACGGCAGACTTACTAGTATTACAATGATGTGATGGGTAGGCCCAAGAAACCTACGTTTTTAGAAACACTGGGCTATTAAATGCTATTTTTTTACTTTAAAGCAAATATAGAAAACAATAGTGCTATGATTATTCTTGTTTGTCTGAAAGACTTAGCATAACCATACACCCATGTTTCCCCTGTTTATGAAGCCTTTCACTGGATGCTTAACTAAAGAAAGGCTCATTTATACCCAACCAAGTGGGGTGATTTTAGATTGTGCATTAACAATACTCAAAACCTGGGTGCTTGATTGGCAATACCTGCCTCACATGAGAATTATTTCCCCTGCGTTATGCAGATCTTCCACAGCAAAGTAAAGAGAGAAACACTGAGACATTTTGAGTAGTAAAAAAGAAGTAACGATGGTGCACTCCTCCATCTGATCAGGAAGACAACAATCAGGGATGCCCTACAGTTCAAATGTGAAATGAGTGCAGATTTGTGAACAAAATGGATGCCCTCTTAGAGCAGGAGTAGGGAAATTTGTATATATGAATGGTTTTAATACACACAGGTGTTCATCCAGCATAGGAACTTGCAGCCATGGCTGCTGCAATGTGGCATGGGTGAGAAAGATAAAAAGTAACAGGTAGTCATTGCCCAATAAATAGCCCCTGTGGAAAGAATAATAAAGTATTGTTCTTTCCTTAATTGCACAATATCCATTCCAAAATAGAGTACTATCTTGAAATACTCCTGAAGATTTCTTTTCTAATACCCGTAGGTCAGTATAAATTCATCTGTTAAATAAACGGGATCATGCAGTCATCAAAGATAAAAAATGATGAGAATCTCCGTAGTTGTTAAAATATTTGTGCAGTCAGAGTTGGGTGATTTATTTTGTGACAACTCAGCCCAAAGCTGAATGCGTAATGAAAATAAGCCAGAAAATTTATTCTAACATTTTTTATTATCCCGTACCTGCTGTTACAATAAACTTGCCTTCTATTCATTAGGCCACACAGGGCTGCCCCACTGGCTATGTATGACTGAGGCAAACGGTAGAATGGGAGAGGAAGGTAACAATGATGAAGGGCTGTTCAGCAGACTTCATCTGAGAGTTGCTTTATAGTCACAAGAAGCGGGACTGACATCTTGTACACTGAGGCATTTTAGTGTTCAACTCCAAAGTTAAGTGCTTTGCCTCTACTGTGAGTTCTTCAGAAAAGAAAATTCAGTGTCAACTTTCATTACCCAATAATGAAGTTAGACACTAACTATTTAAGGAAGATGACATTAGTATGGAGGCCATATGTGTTACAGAGTCAGAGATGGGTCAGCATCTTGCTATCCAACAGGAGACATAAATTCAAGAATTGCTGTGAGTTTGTGGTGAAGTTTATCCACAGTCAACTTAGTTAGGAATATATAATTTGAGTCAAGGAACCAACCACAGTGCACATAATACCCCTTAGCACTCCAGCCAATCCTGGGGGCCACAGAGATGTGCAAAAGTCTTCTTGAAGACTAGGTGTCAAATGGTGATGTATATGTATTTCGCAACCTTTGACAAAGTATGGTAGAAATGCTGTATATTAGGTATAAAAGAATGTGTCTTTATAAGACATGGCCATGCATTAATTCTTAAATGTATTAGTTCTTACCATGCTCACAGGGGGAAGCAGTATGATCATAATGAGATTAGCAGATGTAGGCTCCAGTGTAAGTACAGTCAATACCGAGAGAATCAGGAGTCAGTGGCTAGTTGTATAAACAAAAGAATTCTGTACTTAAGTGCATCAACAAATTCAGTTATGTTTGAGATCTACACCACTCGGATAGGTGGGTAGCCCTTGGCATATAACGCTTTATGCTGCAGAAGATATTAGAGGTATTCAAGCTTTTGTCATAGCTGCATAATTTGTAACAAATGATACATGTTGTAAGACTTCTTGCTTACTTCAAGTCATTGGTTGCTAGAGATATATTTGCAACAAGAACCTCTGATGCTGTGCATGGTTACGCCTTTGGGCCATTCATTTAAAGGCCTGCGTGCCATGATTTCCTATCTGTGGTGATAGGTAGTGAAAAAGTTTTGGCTTGTCCCCAGTTTTTTACTGTCATAGCCTGTATAAAAAGAGGGAAACTGGTCAATATTGCAAATGCCTTAAATTTTCTTATGTGAAATGTTTTTCAATCCCTAGAGCAGACAAGCAAATATCATCAATAGGAAAGGTATTTTCTAACAGTGGAATTTCACTTACACTTTGTTTGTAATGTATTGTTATTTCTAGAGGTCTCCTACTTGAAGATCCAGGAAGAGTACTCTTTGCTTGAGTTATATACTTAGTTGTTCCATTGATGATTATTAAAAGTATTTTGGTGAGCCCACGAGTGAATTTAAAAGCCTGTGTTGCAAGAACCAGTTTCTTTTGAAGATTTTCTGTCTCTTTGTCACTACAGCAGAATTCTCAAATGCAAAAGAAATTCTTCACCCACTAGCCAAAGTCTTTTTGGAGCAATCTGTGTGCCCAGCTAGCTATTTGCACCAAGTCAGCATGTTGAAATCTTCTGCCAAGTTGATTATATGAAATCAGCTTCAATATGTCCCTTCAGATAGCTCTCTTATGGATCATGCCATTACCATTTTATTGTAGAAGGAAACAAATTTAAAGTTTAAGTTTTTAACACATTTTAAATCCTTGCAAACTTAAAGTTTAACATTTTCAAGTGTAGTAAAAAATAAAAAATAATACTTAGGTAAAGCAAATAAAAAGAAATTGAATTAATTTAATAGTTACCTGAATTACAGAATGCTGTCTAGATTTATTTAGTCTGATTCATCTGATATACAGTAATCTTAACTATCTACTTATAATCATTACTTTAATGTAAAGCTGTTTAGTTAAGAACTTTAAGTTCTTTCATCAAATTTAACTAAAAATAATAAAATCCCTCAAAGAATCATAGTCTGGCTTGCAATTTTGGTAAAGAAAATTAATGGTTTGAAAAAATTTTTGTTTCTATCTTGAAGATTCAGAGGCTCAGCTGTTTCTTTTCCTCATGATTATATAGCCAACTATATTTTTTTTCAGTTAGAGAAGAAAAATGCAGTATGGATGGCCAGATGTAGAAGTCTGCAGTGCAAAGAATTGGATCAGGATTAATCACCCTGGGCTCCTTTTATTGTCTGTGTTAAAAAAAAAAAAAAAAAAAAAAAAAAAAAAAAGAGGAAAAAAGCACTTTAAGGCATGATTCATACAACCCTAATGTAGGCATCTAAAATAGGTCAGATTCATTGAGCTCTAAAATGTCTGGTTTTCTCTATGGACAGAGGCATAATCGCCCTAGGGAATCACCAGCGTAGATGTGGATATCTATGTTATCAAGTAAGGTGAGATGATTTCCACCCCATGTAACTTTTGTGACCAAGAACAAATATCTATAAAGAAAGAAACATTGCCTCTATAAAAAGGCTTCTACTAATACAGTGATATGTGCTAAAGCTCTTGCTCCATATTCCCTACAATGCCCTAGATCCTCTAAAACTTAAAGACTGAGATTTCAGTCACAAAGGAAAACGTTATAATTATGCATTATCCTTCATTCTGACTTGTGAAAGTTATTGCTCACTAAACTAAAAACTAACACTTGTGAAGAAGTACATAGCAGTGATCTAATTAAAGATATGTATGAAAAATACAGTGCTGATTAGTATGTGTATTATAATTAGTGCATACAGCATTACATCAGTATATTCGTGTATATATACATATATGTGTATATACACATATTAATAGAACGCTTAAAAGACAATTATAGATAATAGTTGTAGTTAAGAAAAATTGAACACCAACAGTCATAAAAATTAATAAATTTCATACACTAATAATTTCAGTATATTGGTATCCAAACTAAATATATTTATGAAAATGTACAGATAAAGACAATAACAACATGTCTTCGTTTTATTCTGAATTTCTGCAGGACTATTCAGGACAACAGAAATGCTAGTGATGATATAGTTCCACTGCTAGCTGTGGAAAAGAGAAAGCAGTCATTGAGTATTTCTGTTTTGCATTTAGAAAGGAAAACAGAGTCTGCATTGCTAAAATATCATCTACTCTGGTGCTCTCCTAAGTGGATGGTAAAGAGCATCTATTAATTTTTTTTTAATTGGCAGGACCAGATAACTTGATTTAAAGCTTTTAAAAGGAATCTGGTACTGCTGCTCATTGGCAAAAAGCTTTGGCATACTGAAGAAGTCCAAGAGGTCTGAAAAAATCTAATGCCGTGTTGATATTTCAACAGCGTAAACAGGATGACCAGGGTAACTGTAGATGAGTTAATCTGACCTTGGTTCCGTGTGAAAGAATGGAACAGCTGATATGGGACCCTGTCCATAAGGAAATAAAAAATGGTAACATAATTACTGCCAGTCAGCATGACTTTATGTAAAGCAGGTTAAGTTAAACAAACTGCCTAGTACTTTTATGAGATAAGAATTTTGATTATTTGATTTGTTTAATAAAGGTAACTATGTTGACAAAACAATGTCTTCCAAACTCCTGTTAAGCACTGATACCACATGACACCCTGTTTAAAATATTAGCACCAGAACAAAAACAAGAAAACATATATTAAATGAAACTAAACTGTCTAACTCAGAAATTCAATGTGTAATTGTTAACTAAAACTTACCAAGTAATTCCAGTGTGGTGCTACAGAGATCCTTTCATGTTGGAGACTCAATACTTTTACCTACAGCATGAGAAAAAAACAAAACAAACCAAAATTCTAGCAATATCTCTAAATTATGCAAATGAAAAAAAGAGAGAAATTATAAGGACAGATTACAAGCAGGAAGTGATTTAAACAATGTTCTAGAAAAGCAGAAACAATATGGGAATTAATATTGCCAATTAAAGGCTATCTACTTTGGGAGGAGGACATACAGATTATACCTGCAGGACTCAGGAATGTAATGGCTCTTAAAAAAATGGGAAGGCAATGGTTAATGGTAAATATTTTAGTGCAAAATAGCATAATGTTGGCTAACGTGATCCATAGCTTTAATCTGGAAGGGGTCAGAGACTGTCTTCTAATGGGTATGGTGATCAGACCAAATTAAGCTCTCCATAAAGAAAGGCAGAAACGATGAAAGCTATCACCCTACAAACACATATTACTCTATTTTGGACTATACAAACAGAGCAATTTCTCTGGGATATATTGCAAACACAGTGGATGGAGAAATGGTTAGCAAGGGTTATGTACATCTGCATAGATAAGGCACAGAAGAACAGCAGGGAGTTTTTCCTTGCTGTGTTTGGGGAAACAAGACTTTGGCTACATATTTGTAAACAGGATTGCACAACTCTGCTAGCCCTTGTGGTGTTTTTGTTTAGGGGTTTTTGATTTTAGTAAGCACAAAGCAAGTCTCAGAGTGAATCAATAAGCTTGAGAGTGTGCTGAAATTTTTGAGATGTTTAATGGGAAACCCATCCTAACAGTGCCTTGCTTATTTTCCGTTCTCCTAGTCCCCAGGGATTTGCTGTGTAAGATGCAGAATGTTCCCCTGGTCCCTTCTGGGTCAGTCATTGTTGGCTTGGGAAGACAGAGCTGTCTGTCTACCCCCAGCCCCCAATTCCCACTCCTTCCTCTGGTCTCCCTTCTCCAGGAGCATCAGAGAAAAAACACTGATTTTCCACTCCTTTAACCCTTCCTGGGATGCTTTAAAAGGGAATGATGATAAAGAAGCTCTGTAGGTCTCACTCCTCCCTTGTAGTTTGGAAAGAAGAAAGCATACACTAAAGCTGTTTGATGCTGACTTGAGAAGCTATACCAGATTGCATGTAGCCAGCCCCAGGATCCTGATTTCTTAGTCTTCTCTGGTCTCCAGGTCTAGGGTTTCAGATGGAAATCGGGGTGCAGGAAAAGGGCCCACTCAACGTTTGTGTTTTATTTCTGTATGGAACCAAACCTGAAGTCTGAAGAAACTGCTTGGGGTTTGTTACCCTGGTAGGGTTAGGTAGGCTGCTGCAGGGAAGCAGAGATGAAGCTGAAGAGAAGCAAGTGGGACGATGGATGTCTGTTGGCATTCCTCAGTGACTGTGGATGAGACAGTAGTAATGGCTGATAATGTGATGGGGAATCTGACTGGTGCATCAGATGCTGTTGTGAGGCAGCAGCCCTCATGCTGCCCTGCAACATGGGCATACACCCCACACACCTAAGGGTGCCAAGCATCTTTAGTAACTCACTACCTTACGGTTCTGCAGCCTTTCCTCTCTCATCTGACACATGATCCTCTATCTGAGCAGTAAAACCAGGGGTTTGTCAGTCAGCTGCATCTAGTACGTCAGTCCACGGAGCAGAAGAGCCTGCAGCAAAAATGGGTGAGATGTGGGCCAAGTGGAGAGAAGTGTCAAGCAGGAGCAAGTGTACAAATCTCATGGATAATGTATGAGATTTGACAGACTGGGAACTGAGAGGTAAACATGGGGCAGGACTGATAGCGGGGCTGGGAGACTGCAGGAGACAAGAAAATCACCTAATCTAATAATCCCTGACATTTGTATGGAATGTGAAGATCAGTATACATGAAAAGGGATAAAATGGATAGGTTATAAATAAAGCACTGATGAATAACATCCTTGCCCCTCAGCATTTTCACTGCCACACTAAGGATACTGTGGGCTTCTGTTTTTAATCCCTCTTCTAAATAGGCTGTAATTCTGCCCTTTCTAGAACAATGACCCAACAGCTGGTGTCTTCCTTTTTTCCCTACCATCATCAACAAACTGTCTGTGAAGAGGGAGAGAGGAAAAATGAAATGTCTCCATTTTGCTTCCCCCGCCTCCCCTCGGCTTCCCTTGCTGGCTAAGCGTCTGCCCCACAGCTGTCACAGCACTCAGAGAGCAATGAGAAACTTTAAAGTACAAATGCCACGCAGTTTTCTGATTTTCAGGAAAATCATGAGGTTGATGCTACATAGCGCCTAAAATGTTTCCTGAAGTTTTCCGATAAATTCCAAAGTGGTCACATTGTATCCAGACAGGCAAGCAATCAATTGCACATATTCATCTACAGGAGAGGGGCAAGTGTAAGTGTAAGAAAGCCAACTGTGCCCTGGGCGGCATCAAGAGAAGGGTGGCCAGCAGGTTGAGGGAGGGGATTCTACTCCGCTCTGGCGAGACCCCACCTGCAGTTGAGAGCTGCAGTTCAGCTCTGGGGCCCCCAACATCATAAGGACATGGACCTGTTGGAGTGAGTCCAGAGCAGAACCACAAAGATGATCAGGGGGCTGGAGCACCCCCCTGATGAGGCCAGGCTGCGAGAGTTGGGGCTGTTCAGCCTGGAGAAGAGAAGGCTCCGGAGGGAACTTACAGTGGCCTGCCAGTGCTTAAAGGGGGGACAGGGAAGGTGGGGAGGGACTCGTCGTCAGGTGGTGTAGGGATAGGATGGGGGCTAATGGCTTTAAACTGAAAGAGGGCAGATTTAGATCAGATCTAAGGAAGAAATTCTTCCCTGTGCTGGGGGTGAGGCGCTGGCCCAGGGTGCCCAGAGCAGCTGTGGCTGCCCCCTCCCTGGAAGGGTTCCAGGCCAGGTTGGACGGGGCTGGGAGCCCCCTGGGCTGGGGGAAGGGGGCCCTGCCCGGGGCAGGGGGGGTGGGACTGGATGGTCTTTAAGGTCCCTTCCAACCCAAGCCATTCTATGATTTATGTAAAATACCTCTGGTCTGTACAGCACTAGAGAAATTATAATGAGGGACAGAAATTAATTTACTGAAACCAATGAACTTTAGACAACATATTGTCAATTCTGCGGGGTTGTTTCTAAAAAGAAGGGAGTCTTATAAATTGTTGTGTGTTCCCGAGTCTTGCTGAAACAGTTTAGAGGGAATAGCTTGTAAGATTTTAGGATTTTTTAAATTATTGAAATCCAACTAGGGGCAAGATATCTGTTGAAAGTAATATGTTAATTTGATGTGTGTGTGCAGCATGGTTACAAAGTTGAACTTGCACATGGAAAAAGCATATCAAAATTAATTACAGACAGCCTTCGACAGTGAGAAACTGAACACCCTACTTTCTTTTCCCAAACTGAAACTAAAAAAGCAACTAAAATCAACAAGTCATTAAATTGGGTTGCAAAATTATTTCAGTATTATCAGTATAAAGGATTGGTAATGTAAGGATGTCTGAGGGTGAATGTTTTGGGGAGTGTGATTTTTAACTTGTTGGTATTTCTTTAAATACAGCCAACACAGGAGGGTGGCAGACAACTGTTGTTTTTAAACTTGATTATCCTGCAAGAATATCTAGATCACTTACCCATAGGCATTTTTCAGCAAATGTTCAATTAACAACCTGACAGCCAACCATTGACTTTAAAACTATCTGATCTTCCCACAATCAATAAATCGCATCAGTGTAATTTATACCACTGCGATACAGTTACATGTTTAGCACATTTGTTGTGCTTATGCATTTCTAAACAAAGCAAAGAAGGTAATCGTGTCACAAAGAGGGACACCTTCTCAGGAAATCGTTGCAGGGGAAACTGTTGGGTAGATATATCGGCTGGGAAAGGTAAACCAAAGGCCAAACTATGGTGCAGCCCAGAGATCTCTTACCAGGTCCCGAGTTAGTCAGAACAGAAGAAGTTTTTGTTAGCAAACAAATTCAGAATGTTTTGTATCAGAAATGAAAGGCCCTTTCAGCTCACTGGAGGGTGTCAGAAAAAAGATACCCTTAGAAGGGTTCATTTCTGTGGCTTCTTCCAGGTCCTTACACAACTCCAGCTGAAGTTGGAGTCCCAGTCGTCTGGTCACCATAAGGTAGTGGACTGAACCCTAGCACGCTGATCCACGTCCATGACAGCTGCTTTCGAGAGATGACAGCAGCTCTTGCAACGTCTGCGTTTTGGAGTTACCCACCTTTTAAAAATGTGCTTCCGTAGCCTTGAGACATTTTACAAGTCAGCAAAAAAGTCTCTCAACAGAAAAATGTGTAGGAATAAAGTGAGACACACCGGAAATGTTCCCTTATTGTATGATTAAATGCAACAGAAGAAATTAAAAACTTGTTCATTTGCCATGATTACCTCATTCTCTCCTGTTACAAATGCTGTTCCTTTGCTTAATCAGCAGTTTAACTGAAAGCACACTCTTCACTTGTATTTGATTTTGTGGTCTCCCACTTCAGTAATGAAAATCTAATGTTCACATGAATATTTTATTAAGTGACCATTTTGTTTCGTGCCCATGAGCACTCAGCAGAACATGCATGAATCTTTTTTTCTTTCTGTGGAAATGACAGTAACTCTTTTTAGCAAGTTATTATTGTTATTTAGACATATTAATTGCCTCCCATCACAGCAGTTCTTGCTGCAGGAAGGATCTTGGAGATACCCACTCCTCCTTTTTCTTCCCCACAATCCAGCCAACCATGACAGAGCCTGCACCAGTGGGAGCGGTGTTCGAGCCATGATGCCCACCGACTGTGAGAAGGTTTTTCAATCTCTCTTCTAGGCATGTGAAACTGCATAAATTTCTAGTGCCAACAGATTTGTACACGTCTTGTTGCGATGGTTAATCTTTCTGAAATTAATAGTTGCACTTAAGCTGTATGCCTGAAAAAATATGCTTCCAAAAATATACTGAAAAAGATACTCCACCTCTTCCTTCAGCACACGTCGCCTTTTGTGCTTTCCCTGCGTATATGAGCCCACCAAAACATGAAAGGTTGACACCTTCC